AGAGTAGTGTGTAAAAAAACAAAACAAAAAATTGGCCTATTCCATGTGTTTGGGCCTGGAGCTGCAGCTCCATCAGCCCCTATGTTAATCCGGCCCTGAGAATAGCGATACACTAATTGAATATAAAGAAAAAACTAACCTAAATAGACAAAAGCAATTAACTTTTATATGTGGTTTTAATTGCCCAAGTCACTAGATAAAAAAGATTTTTAATAAATACTGGTTAATTTTAACGAATGAGCAGACACTCAACCAAACACTTACTGATGAGCTTATTATTAGAAGGACATATGCATTGATAAAGGGCAAGAGTCTGAATTGTTTGCTGCATTAAGTTTGTCATCCATTAAACTTGGGTAGAACCTTGGTGTGTAAAAATAATTCTGGTTGCACAGACCTTCTTTTTACTTGTTTGTGAGACTATTATAATATATATGGAGGAGTCCCAAGTTTGAGAAGCACCCTAGTACATAATCACATATAACAAAAAAATAAACATGAATTTATAGGCTTTTATGGTTGCGGCTCCAGGGGAGCATGCAAGAAAATGTATAACAGAAAAAGACTAGTAGGGAAATTTATAAACCCCCAAGATAATAAGGATATTTTCCCCATCAAACTGGTAATTATATGCTACTCAGAAAAAGGAATTTATGTCATTATGTGTCCGTGTAGATCCATGCACTACACACAAGGGTACAAGTACATGTCAGAAATATAAAACATGGTTTTAGGAAACATAGTTTATATTTAGTTTTTAAAGTAAAGTTAACCCCTTCAGGACGGGTGACGGACGAGGTCCGTCACAGAGGGGAGACCCTTAACGACGGGTGACGGACCTCGTCCGTCACGCGGTAAAATTAACCCCGGATCGCCGCTATCGCGGCGATCGCGGGGTTAATGGTGCTCCCGGTATGCCTCTGCATTAGAGGCATACCGGGAGCACCCGGTCAGCTGCCCAGCACATGTGCTCGCTCTGACCACAAGTCAGAGCGAGCACATGTGCTCTGTATACTCACCTACCGGCTCCCTGCACTTCCGGGTTCTGTGTGAAGTGCAGGGAGCCGGATCAGTGCTGATCCTGCCCCCTGCTGGAAAAAAAAATAAAGTTTATTTAAAGTGTCCCCCCCCTTACCCATTTTAATAACAAATTAACCCATTCCCTGCCAATTGATCACTGACTACAGTGATCAATTGGCAGGGATTACATTTTACTTTGATCTGATTTTTTTTTTTAACCCCTGAGGGTTAATTCTTTTTTTTTTAACCCTCAGGGGTTAAATTAATTAAATTAATTAATTAAATTATTTTTAAATTATATATTTAGATAGCTGGGGTGGGTGGAAGTTAGTGGGGAATTGGGGGATTTGGCGTTAGGCTAACTAGGGGTTAACGTTAAAAAAAGTTTTAAAAGAAACTTTAAAAAGTTAAAAATTAAGCTTAAAAAAATGTTTTAATAACATTTAAGTAAAAAAAAACAAAAAAAACACACTTTACCTAGTCCAAATAAAAATTAACCCCTTCCCTGCCAGTCGATCACTGCCTACAGCGATCAAATAGAGATCACAGTATTATACTGTGATCTAATTTTTTTTAACCCCTGAGGATTAACTTTTATTTATTTTTTTAACCCTCAGGGGTTCAATTTATTTAATTAATTAATTTAAATATTTTAGAACTATATATTTTGCTAGCTGGGGTGGGTGGGAGTTATGGGAAAATGGGGAATTTACTGTTAGTGCTGCGTACTGCTAGTTAGGGGTTAATGGTAAAAAAAAAAAGCTTAGAAAAATGTTAAATCTGTAAAAAAGTTTTAAGAAAGTTTAGGAAAGTTTAAAAAAAATTTATAAGCAAAACAAAAGTTTAAAAACTAGTTTTTAAAAGTAAAAAAGTTATAAAAAGTAAAAAAATACATTTTAAAAACGCTCATTACCACTACACCTAGAACAAACTAGAGAAAAAATTATCCCACGCCTAGGTTCAAAATATGCCTTTTGAATTACCCCAGGGTGTATTCTTTAATAAATAGTATGTGTTTGTGGGGAAGTTTCAATAACCAACCGTCTAAACTACTCCAAATTGGAACATGGACACAGCGTAAAACTTCAAAGTTAGAAAAAAACTGAATGGCTGCGTCTCAAATGCGCCCCTTCAACATCCACATATACCTGGCAAAGGTACATACGGGGGTATTGCTGTACTCAGCCGACATAGCTGAGCAACATATGAAGTATTATACAGTCATAGCACACATAAGGTTTGCAAAATATGCTGCGCAAACTCACTTTGTATGTCAAAAAGGCAGAAAAAATGCTTATTACCACTACACTTGGTACAAGCTAGCGGAAAAATGATCCCACGCTAAGGTTCAAAATATGCCTTTTGAAATACCCTGGGATGTCTTCTTTAAGAAATGGTATGGCTTTATGGGGAATTTGGATTATATAGCCTGGTAAAATACTCTAAAATGGGACATAGGCACAGCATAAAAATTCAAAGTTTGAAAAAAACTGGAATGGCTGTGTCCCAAATGTGCCCCTCCGATGTCCACACATACCTGGCAAAGGTACATACGGGGGTATTGCTGTACTCAGCCGACATAGCTGAGCAACATATGAAGTATTATACAGTCGTAGCACACATAAGGTTTGCAAAATATACTGTGCAAACTCACTTTGTATGTCAAAAAGGCAGAAAAAACGCTTATTACCACTACATCTGGTACAAGCTAGCGGAAAAATGATCCCACGCTAAGGTTCAAACTATACCTTTTGAAACACCCTGGGGTGTCTACTTTAAGAAATGGTAGGCCTTTGTGGGGTAGTTTGAATTTAAAACCTGCGAAGATGCTTGGAAATTGCACATAGGCCCAGCGTCAAAATTCAAAGTTTGGTAAAAACGGATATGGCTTGGTCTCCTATATGGCACTGTAGCTTCACAAAATAGTGACAAAGACATTCATTGGGGGTGTATTTTTACTCAAAAGACTTAGCTGAGCATAATTTGGGAGGTTTGAACTTAGTGGCACATATGAAATATGCAAAACGTCCAGCAAAAATGCAATCCGTATGTAAAAAATGCACAAAATAATTTTTTTACCACATACTTTGGCATATATTGGTGTGTCTACTTTTACAAATGGTAGGCCTTTGTGGGGTTTTTTTGAACAGTCAAACTGTTATAATACCCCAAATGGAAGCTAAGGCTCATTAAATCCATCTCTCAAAATTCTACTGTGAATACTGTAAAGGACAGGTCTCCTATATGGCACTGTAGCTTCACGAAATAGTGCCAAAGACATTCATATGGGGTGTCATTTTACTCAGAAGACTTAGCTGAGCATAATTTGGGGGGTTTGAACTTAGTGGCACATATGAAATATACAAAACGCCCAGCAAAAATGCAATCCGTATGTAAAAAATGCACAAAATTATTTTTTACCACATACTTTGGCATATATTGGTGAAAAAATGGGGGCATGTTAAGGCACAATATGCACCTTATAAGATACCCTGGAGTGTCTACTTTTACAAATGGTAGGCCTTTGTGGGGGTTTTTTGAACAGTCAAACTGTTATAATACCCCAAATGGAAGCTAAGGCTCATTAAATTCATCTCTCAAAATTCTACTGTGAATACTGAAAAGGACAGGTATCCTGTATGGCACTGTAACTTCACGAAATAGTGCAAAAGACATACAATGGGGGTGTCATTTTACTCAGCAGATGTAACTGAACACAAAATAAAACTTTGTACAGGAATAGCACACACCAACTTTACAAAATATACACAAGAATTTCTCTGTTATAAGTTTGTGTGCCAAAAACCAAAAAGAACACAATTTTACTCCAATATTTAGCAGAGGTTGGCGGTGAAATGGCTACGTAGAAAGTGTCAAAACAACCTTAGGTAAATAGCCCGTGATGTCTACTTTATATAAATATATACTTTTGTGTGGCAATTTTGTTTTCTTTTATGGCTATTAAGCTTACAAGACAAACATACCAAATTCTAAAATCGCTCCACATTAAAAGTTTATTTTACTCCTTGTGCTTTGTGACCTGTAACTACCAAAAAAAACTTAAAATCCCAGACACATTATATATTCTGTAAATCAGAACAAATAAATAAATTTATTTTTAATTACTTTCCTTAACCTGCACTAATTATGCACACATTATTATTGCAAAAACTGTAAAAAAAAACCAATATTTTTCATTTTTTTTGCATTTTTCTGTATTTTTTTTATAATAAGTAAGCATTTATATATATATATGTTATATCAAATTAAAGCCCTTTCTGTCCTTTAAAAAACAGTATATAATATGTGTCGGTGCAATAAATGAGAGAGATGCAAATTGCAGTTGAACGCAAACAGCAAGAAAATGCAAAAATTGCTTGTGTCATTAAGCGTAAGTCAAGCTTCTGAAGCTGTGTCCTTAAGGGGTTAATAAAGACCCTTGGAACCTTCAATTTCTAGCCATTTAAAAAGCACAAACTAACTGGAGGAGTGAGGATTTAATAAACAATGTTTTATCTTCTATTTTATGCAATACAAGGTCCTTGATTTCTACTTTTTCTAATTATCCGAATGTCATGTTAATCGCTAATTGATTGGTTTTATTAACACCCTGATATGTGGCTCTTAACTTTACATTGCCTTTTATATAAATTGCATAAAGTTTTAGGTCAGCTAACCCAATAAAGTTATTTTTTATTCAATTTAATCCAATCATGTTTTACTATAAGTTTAAGTGCTGTACATTTATAAATGTAACAGATATGTACAGTGAGGGAAAAAAGTATTTGATTCTCCTGCTGATTTTGAACTTTTGCCCACTGACAAAGAAATGATCAGTCTATTATTTTAATGGTAGGTGTATTTTAACAGTGAGAGACAGAATTTTAAAAAAAATCCAGAAAAATGCATGTCAAAAAAGTTTTAAATTGATTTGCATGTCAATGAGTGAAATAAGTATTTGATCCCCTATCAATCCGCAAACTTTCTGCCTCCCAGGTGTCTTTTATACAGGTAACAAGCTGAGATTAGGAGCACTCTCTTAAAGGGATCTCAGCTTGTTACCTGTATAAAAGACACTTGTCCACAGAAGGAATCAATCAATCAGATTCCAAACTCTCCACCATGGCCAAGACCAAAGACCAAAGGCTGGTATGGGCTACAAAATCATTGCCAAGCAGCTTGTTCAGAAGGTGACAACAGTTGGTGCGATTATTCGCAAATGGAAGAAACACAAACTAACTGTCAGTCTCCCTCAGTCTGGTGATCCATGCAAGATATCACCTCATGGAGTTTCAATGATCATGAAAACTGTGAGGAATCAGCCCAGAACTACCCGGGAGAATCTTGTTAATGATCTCAAGGCAGCTGGGACCATAGTCACCAAGAAAACAATTGGTAACACACACTACGCCGCGAAGGATTGAAATCCTGCAGAGGGAGCTGAAGGTTCGAGTTGCCAAAGCCTTGAAACCTTAATGACTTGGAGAGGATCTGCAAAGAGGAGTGGGACAAAATCTTTCCTGAGATGTGTGCAAACCCTGTGGCCAACTACAAGAAACATCTGACATGCACAGCTCGCGAGACTTGGAGAGAGAAGAGCAGCTGGGAAGTTGAGACACAGTGTACAGGCAGCCGGGGGCCCGCAGGTGCATATGTATATATATATATGTATATATAGATAGCTAAAATCGCTATATATGTGCACATAAAGAATGTGGGACCCGGGATTCACTGTGCAGTCCAGACCCCCCAGGGCCACCTGGCCCATGACAACAATCATGGTTGTCATTCCTGATGGCGGCCCTGCATTGAATCAATGCTCCTCCATGCACAGGAAAGATAGTGTTTACATTAAAAAGCTTGCAGGGACTGGTTATAGACACCAGAACAACTACAAGCTGTAGTTGCTCTGGTGACTATAGTGTCCCTTTAATGAAGCAGTTTGGGTATTTAGAGCGTGCTCCTGCAGTTTTACTGCTCAATTTTCTGTCATTTAGGAATTAGGTCACTTTTGTTTCTGTTCATGCAAAAAAATCATTTTCAATCAGAGTTTTACTTGCTTTAGAAGGTTTAATCTCCTGCTCTGTAAATTAAAGATTATGCTAGCTTTAGTGTACTAATAATCTTAATTTTAGTAACGACAGGAGGTGAATATTTTGCAACTTTCTTTACTTACTCCATAGCAGCAAAGAATAGAGAAACAAAAAAAACAATCAGATGTAAGGAAAGGGAACAATAAGCCCCTCCCACTGAGCTACTTCCTCTTGTCAAAGCGACCTTAACAAGTCCTATAGCAATAATAACTGAATAGAATGACAAAAACTGAAGAATGTCCATGAAAATCCTGTAGAACGAGAAAATTCCAGTTGTCAACATAGACGCCAAAAAGGAAAGAAAGGAAGGGTCAAAATTAAAGAGAGGGGGTGGGGAAATATTTAGTGTACTAATTAAGATTATTAGTACACTATAGATAGCATAATCTTTAATCCTACCACGTGACAGGAGGTTTCATATTTTGGAATTTTAAAGCTACATTATCAGTGTTAAATCGGCATTAAAATGGGGCTGAATATAGAAAGTCCAAAACGTAGTTTCTCGAGACCAATCCGTCGCTTTAAGGATGTCTGACAAGGATGCTCCCTCCGTAAAGGCAGACAATGCAGCAGCGCCTCACACAGAGTTTGCAGCCAAACAAGGGATCTATACCCACCAGAGAGAGCAACCATCGAACTCATCTGGATAAGGTATTAACTGAAACTGGACTGTGTGGTTTCACATAGGAAATCAGTAACTGTTGAGCAGATGGTGGGCGTATGTTGGCCATCGCCGTAACATGCGCTCATAAAGTAGCCACTACACAAAGTTTTGGTTCTGCCAGGAAAAACTGGTAAAAAGCATGTCGAGTTAGTTTTAGTATGACGCAGAAAGTGACGCCTTCTGGAGACAAAGAAAAGGCGTCAGCGTCAAAGCACATATGTCCGAGACCCGCCGGAACAAGACAAGGAACAGAAGAAGCGTCATTTTAGCCATAAGTTGATGTAACAACAATCTGTCATTAGGAGGCCAAGCCATCAGAAAACAAAAGAGTGTGTTGACGTCCAACAGTGACTTGTATTTAGACACCGGTGGTCGACAGAGTCAATTCCCTGAAGTAAGCGGTAAATCAAGGGGTCTTGCTCCACTGGTTTTCCCTGAACTGGGACGTGGGCAGCTGAGATGACTGAGTGAACCACATTGATCGAGCGATAAGATTTACCATCTGAAAAGAGAGATGACAAAAAGTTCAAAAGAGAAGAGATAGAGGCTGCAAAGGGATCGAGATTCCATCACATACTCCAATTGGCCCAGGAGTCTCATGCAGAGAGATAACACCTCCTTGTACCTGGGGCCCAAGAGTCCCAGAGGAGGTCTCTAGCTGTTGGCGATAATTCCTCGATACTCCAGGAACCCCTAAAAGACTCCAAGCCGCTAAAGAGAGGCATCTGTCCTGTATCATTGGAGAGAGGGTCCCTACCAGATCCCTGAGCAGCAGAGGGTTGTCCGGCAGGAGAAGACGGTGTTCGCAAGAGAGGGCGAGTAGGTCCGGAAACCAAGTGTGGCTCAGCCACCATGGTGTAAGAAGGAGTACTTTCCCTCTTTGCAGGCGAATGTGATGTAAAACTCTCGCTATCATCGCAAATGGGGGACAGGTGTAGGCTCCATGGGTTGACCACGTTTGTAGGAATGCGCCACTGCTACACTCTCCGGGTCAGTAACCAACTGTAAAAGAGTGGTAGTTGATGGTTGGTGCAGGATGCAAACAGGTCTATCCCCAGTGGTCCTCTGTGACTGTCTAGGTTTGGGGGTCCAGTTGCCAATCGCTGCTGTATTGCCAGTGGCGTGAGAACCAATCAGCCATAAAGTTGGTCTTCTCCAGGAGACGTTCTGCCATCAACGTGATGTTGCGAGGGAGGTAATAATCAAATATCTCCTTCGTAAGCTCTGTCAAGGTTTGAGAATGTGTGCCACCCAGATGGTTGACATATCATACTGCGCAAGCGTTGTCCATGCGGAGGAGAATACAGCAATTGTATCTTCCCTTCGCCAGGCTGCATATAAGACCACCGCCAGAAACTCTAGACAATTTATGTGTAAGGAGAGTTCTTGTGTCGTCCATACACCCCCTGTGGATGTTCCTCCATCGGTGGCTCTCGAGCCCCATCGACTGGCGTCCGACTATGTGTGCTGAATATGGCTCGACCGTTCCAAACCTGCATGCTCTTGAGCCACCTATGGCGCACTTCCTCTGTATTTGGAACCGGTTGGTCGTACGTAGCCTTCTTTCGGAGGTAGCGAGCGTTCAACCATTGCATGGCTCAATAATGCAATGGACCTGAGAAAATCACTTGTTTCGAGGATGATAGAAGTCCCACAATGCATGCGAGAAGTCAGAAGGGAATAGTGTCCTGACGTAGTGGCTGATATTTTTGCGGAGGGTAGTCGTAGTGTACAGGATTGAGAGTCTATGTTGAATCCTATGAATTGGACACATGGAGAGGGGATCAGAGCAGATTTTTTTCAGTTGACCATGAAGCCTAGGGATTCCAGTAGTTCCACTGTGTTGTGTGTGATAGTAGTTGTGTATAGACTTGACCCAGGAGCAGAATTTCGTCCAAGTAGATTATACATCGAATTCTCCATTGATAAAGGTGAGCCACCACCAGTTTCAGAATTTTTTTAAAGAACCATGGTGCTGATGCCGAACGGGAGGCAGTTGAACTACCATGGATCTCCATTCCACAAAAAGCGAAGGAAAGGGCAACTGTCCACATGGATCGGAACCGAGAGGTAGGCGTCCTTGAGGTCTAGGCGGGTGAACCAATCTCCATCTTGGAGAAGGTCCCGCAGCAGATGGATGCCTTCCATCTTGTAGTGTCAATAAATCGCATGGGCTCCCGTAAGTTTATGACTGGACGGGTGTCCCTGTATTTTTCTGGACGAGCAATATGTTGCAAAAAAATCCCCCTTGTGACGTGGTCGGTTGGATGCCACCTTTCTTCCGCAGTTTTTTAACTCTTGTTCTATGAGCTGTGCGTTTGTGGTTGCAAAGGTCAATGGGCAGGGAAGGGTGGTCTAATGTGGAGTTGTCTCAAATTCTATATGGTACCTGCCTACAGTTTGTAAAACCAAACCGAAGACAATGTTTTCCAGTTCTGGAAGAAAAGGGTTAGTCAGCCTGCGGAGAGAGTCTTAGTTAGTACAGGTGAAACAGTTTTTGAAAGACTTACGTGTGGCAAATCATGCTTTATCTCGTCCTCTGCCGCCATGGCCTCTGTCCTAGCCCCTGGAGTAGTGGAACGGTTGTCGGCCACCAACTTCTGGGTAGAATGGTTGTGTGCCCGATGGCCAGAATCGGCTGGTCGCATGGCCCTGTTGCTGACCAGCCCTATCAAATACACCCCTCTGGGTTTTGCCACAGTAAACTCTGCGCATGGATTATTGCACTTTATTTAGAGATGTAAAAACATTTACATGCTTGTTCAGCTCTTTTAAAAATGCCTCTCCGAATAGTTTGCCTCAGGCTTGCGGGCCTAGTTCCTTGGCCCTCATATCTGCAAGCTTGGCGTTGATCCTGAACAGTGCTGCACTGTGCCTCTCAGATGAGAGGGCCACATTCGTGTTGCCCAAGAAACAAAAGCAACGTTGGGTCCACTCGCGGATGTCGTGCACCCATTCACGCACAGTGTCCGCTGTAAACTATTCCGCTTGGGCATAGGCCTCATCAGCCAATGTCATAAAGCGAGCCAGTGGCCCGATAGCGTCCAGAAGTTTGTCCTGAGCTCCCCCAAAACCAAGTTTCACTTCTTTTTGTGGTTCTTTTCCCCCTCTGGCCATAAATGATAGCATAATGTGATTAAATTCTGGCGTGAATGCCACTTTATCTGGGAGGATGGGTCGTGGACATCTAGCCATTTTCGTACTTCCTTAACAAGCTATTTTCTCAGCCAGAAATGCATAAACTGCATTTCATTAGGTGTTCCCGGGGGGGCCAATCCCCAGAGTGGGGATGCCGTATATTCCTCGGGTAAAACATACGTTGCCCTGTAGCGT